ATGATAATACCATGGAGTGTTAATTCCTATGTCCACTCTGTACAAATCTATAAACACTCTAATTCCCATACTGACAAAACTGGGGAAAATGTTAAATAATATATATATATATATATATATATATATATATATATATATATATATATATATGATTGTGTGTGTGTGCACGCGCACGTGTTTGTATGTTTCACTGTATTTAATGCGTATTTAGGCATGTTATTCTGTACCCTAAACAAACTAATGAAACGTCTACATATTCCTTACATAAAGTTATAACATTTCTACATATAGTGTCAGCTGCATTCAAAGTAGGGACATTGAAATTATAACATCGCAAGAAGATACTAACATGAAACTAATAAAAACTTTTCTCTCTTGTAATTGAGATTTTATTTTTAAGGTTTGTTCAAAACTTTGTGGGATTTTAAAGCCGAAATTTTGTATTGTAAAAGTAATTTACGAGTGAATATTGCATTAACAATTATTTGAGAATAACAATGATTCTTCCTGATGTTAGTCGCACTATTTAACCCATAGCTGGGGTAGAAGGGATTCATACTTTTGTCAAGTTTATTTACTCCGAAACTATGGGTATTAATATTTTTGAAAATGACTAGTTATGACCAACTTAAAATGCGACGAACTTTGGAGAGTTTCTTTAAGAAATTCATATAAATGTCAGGTAAATCATATCGTTAACTGGAGAAATATAATAAAATAATTAAAGAGACAGGTTTTATTGGCGAGTCAATATATATATATATATATATATATATATATATATATATATATATATATATATATATAATAATTTTGAGTTTGCTGGCGTTGTTCGAATTGTTGATCATGCTAGATAACACGCTATCTTCCAGAAACTGTAACTAAGGTCTGCTCAGCTTGTGCATGTTGAACAAACACAAATGTGCCTGAGCAAGCGTCTACAATAAGGAGTGGCTACCCACCCTAGAAGACGGGTATTATTTATATATATATATATATATATATATATATATCAATGGTACCAAAGTAATATTTCTTGATTTAAAAAAAAAAATAGATTATAAATTATATTTTACTGCAACTATTGCTACAATTGCAATTATTTTTGTTGC